CAAAACTCCAAGTTGCAAGCCTTTACTCCTTTTAACAATTCTTGATCTGATAGAGTTTTCAAGGATTTTCCTCCAGCATGTCCCAAACGCATGTGCCATAGCCTGGTTGCTTTTGCCTCTTTTTCATCACTGGATGTTATTGTCGATGTCCCAATAGCTGTACTACCGCGATAACGGTACATGTTATTGTTCTTCCGATTGGCCTTCATTACCAGTAGTGCACCGGAACATACTCTCATCACTCCATTTTCTACAATGATTTTGAACCCTTTTGATTCTAGGACCCCCACAGAGATGAGATTTTTCTTCAAACCCGGTACATATTGAACATCTGTTAATGTTCTGATCATTCAATCATGGTTCCTTAATAGTATTGAACCAATGCCATATGAGGTAAGAGGGTTGTTATCCGCTGTGTGGACGACTCCATATTCTCCTTCTTGAAAATCCACGAACCAGTCCCTGTTGGGACACATATGATAGCTACAAGCCGAGTCCATCAACCATATGTCTGATGATGTTGATGACTCATGTTGTAACTAATGAGAAATCTGAATCATCACAATCAGCTATATTTGAATCCATAATGGCCTTTCTATTGTTATGTTTGGCCTTATTCTTCTACTTCGGACAGTCTTTCTTCCAGTGCCTTTTTTCTCGACAAAAGGCACATTCATCTTTGCTGGGTCTAGATCTTGACTTGGATCTTCCTTTCTTTGTCCTCGTTTGATTTTGAGGACGACCCCTCACAACCAGTGCTTCTCCTTCTCCGCCTTCTGTTTTTCTCTCTTTCTTTGTTCATAGCTGTACAAAGCCGAACAAACTTCTCTGAGTGAAATTTCATCATTCCCATAGAGTAGAGTAGTTTCAAGGTGCTCGTACTCATCAGGAGTGACCCCAACAACATCAAGGCCAAGTCACCATCATCAAAAGTTGCATCCATATTTTGCAAATTTGTGACCAACTTATTGAAACTGGTGATATGTTCATTTATCGTGGTACGAGGAATATAGGTGAAGCGAAATAGTCTCTTCTTCATGTACAATTTATTTTGACTATTTTTCTTCAAAAATTTATCCTCCAGTGCTTTCCATAATTTACTTGCAGAAGTTTCCTTTGTGTATGGATATTTCTGCTCTCTAGCAAGGTAGGATCGAATGGTACCGCAAGCAACATGATTGATAATTTTCCAATCTTCTTCTCCAATAACATCTGGTTTCTTTTCTTTAATGGCAAGATTCAGCCCTTGTTAAAAAAGGACATCTAGAACCTCGCTTTTCCACATCCCAAAATGTCCTGACCCGTCAAATATTTCTACCGCAAATTTCGCATTTGACACAATTCTTGTCATAAGCGAAGATGCCAATGATGACGTATTGTTGACACTTGATGTAGATTCTTCTTGTTTATTGTCTCCCATCTTTGACACAAATATTATTTAATAGCTGACGACACAAATCAAGATTATTTCCTTTCTGGTGTGGAAGATCAGACTAAGCTGCAACCACAGAGCATACTCAGACAGAACATTGACTCAATTACCAAGATAAATCTTTTCTGATGTGGAAGATCAGACTATACTGCAACCACAGAGCATACTTAGACAGTACCTTGGCTCTGATACCAATTGTTGNTAGTACCTTGACTCTGATACCAATTGTTGCGGAAGCCAAATGTATATAGTGTGAATGAGTCAGAACTACTATACCAAAAATTATAACAGCCACCAAATAATAAATAAGACAATAAAGCAACAATAAAAGGAACACCAGAATTTACGAGGTTCGGCCAATTTTGCCTACTTCCTCGGACACAACCAATATTTTATTCACTCCAAAATACAAGTGAAATAATACTAAAGAGAGAAGATACAAATGTCTTAAGAAGATAAGAAGGCAAATGAGAGGTGTGTTTAAATCCTAAACATTAGGCCTCCTTTTAAGGGAAAAAATCTCAACCAAATATGTCACCTACCGATGTGGGACTTTTGACATTTTCAACAGAGTGTGTGCTATTGAATCTTTCACATATCTCTGTTTCCTGATGTCTCAATTTTATTGAATACCCAGAAACAACACTGAGGGTGTCAAGTTGCATGGCTTCTGGAAGTTGCTTTATAACATCCATGCCCAATTAGGTTTATTCTTTTATAATCAGTAATATGACTAAAAGGACTTCTGTTCATCCTGCGAAATATCTCAGTTTTGAGATTAAAATTTTAACACATGTTTTGCATGATATCCTGGAGCACTAAGCTCTGGGATTTAGCTTTTATGCATGCATCATTTTCACTACCAAAGTCTACTTTGTTATTCGATTTGCAGATATGGTCATAGAACAGCCCAGGGGATTCTCACTGATGGATGGAATGCTCTAACACGATACTACTTGAACAACTTTGTTGATGGTACAAAACAGGTAATGATGCGTCATACCAGCAGTTAGTTTTTGCTCAGGTTTGTACGTCACATCAAGTGGAAGTAGCCTTTATTATGTGTTTTTACGTGCAACTTGGTTTCATACTAATCTGCCAGTTGAAATTTTGGAACTGTACTAAACTTCACGTGCCCGAGTCCATCTGCAATGTGCTGCCATTTTATTGGATTATTTTCTTGTTAACTACTAGGAGATGTTCTGAAGGGGAGCCTTGGCGTAACTGGTAAAGTTGCTACCATGTGATCAGGAGGTCACGGGTTCAAGCCGTGGAAACAGTCTCTTGCAATAATGCAGGGTAAGGTTGCGTACAATAGACCCTTGTGGTCCGGCCCTTCTCTGAACCTGTGCATAGCGGGAGCTTAGTGCACCGGGCTGCCCTAGCTACTAGGAGATGTTCTGATTAATAATGTTCAATCTGTTATGTATACCAGTGCCTAATTTGTAATTGGCCATGACGATTTTGAGCTTCTCTTTCCAATTTGGAAACTGAATTCTTACTTCCTTCTTTTCATATCATGAAGGATGCCATTGATTTATTGCAAGGACACTATATTTTATCTGTCCCTCGAGACATGAAACCGTCATCCCAAAAAGGAGGCATTGAGACTAAAGCTGTGAGTGCTATTACTTATGCTGTTTAATCATGTTTAACATGCTCACATTCATCAGATTCAATTGATTAGACCATATTGGCATAGCAAATTGTTGACTTCATCAGTGTAAGGTTTCTATAATGTAGTTTAAGTGAAGTTCATGTTTCCAGTTCTTAAGTATCCTCCTCTTTATGTTCGGTTTAAAGCCTGGGTACAGGGAAAAAACACGGGTTTACGTGACAATATCTCTAATTTTATTAAAAGAAACTCATATAGATTTATAAAGAGTGAAAGAACTACAGAATGATAGAATGATATTTGATTGCTGCACAGAAGAAAGGTTATTTTGGTATGTAATTTTGTTGAATCTTTCTGAAGGCTGTCCCACCACACCTCTTTTATTGATAATCCCTCAAAAGTCACTGTCAGCTGCAAATACCTGTCAAAGCATTTAGTTATTTTTAAGTTGGACATTCAGGATATAGTGTTAAGCATTATGTAATGAGATGCATCCTTCCCAATTTTGTCCATCAATCCAGTTGTGGCCTCACCCCACCAACACAAATTAGATATAAATGCAACTTCTTTGAGCCCTCACAGCTAGAATTTACAGTATTTGGACAGCCCATGTACACCAATACTCTTAATTTGTTTTGACTTAAGACCGAAGTGTTCACTGATCCCCGTTCAATCTATCGACTATTAACCCGTCAGTCTTATATGTTTCTGTTATTTCAAAAGTTTGATGAGCTTATCACTTTTACGGATACATTGTTAGTGATTTTGGCCCAAAGCATATACTAGGCCTTTATTGAAGCCATAAAATAAGAATTTGTTCCTTATTGGTCTAATTGGTCTATGCCCCATTCGGTCAAAGTGGATTTAGGGCAATAATACTGGTCATACAGTAGTGATAGCTATAGAAGGAAAGAAAGAAATCTGCGCTGCTCTGCTTATCAGAGACCTTTGTGAATTTCAGCTAAGTTTGATTAGGTATTATTCAATTCGCTAAGGGGTGTCATTTTCTGCTTTCTGGGCTGGTGCAACTGTTTTTACATCAAGGTATCTACTCCCCAATTATTCAGCATGACAACCGTTAATCAGGGTTTACACTTTACATTATTTTCTTTTTATTTCTTGTATCTCATTTCCTTTTTATTCATGACAGTCATATAGTCTTTAGTGTGCATCATGCAGTTTACCTTAACTTTCAATACCGTCAGTAGTAATTAGGGTCGACATTTTCCTGACAAGTATCTTATGTGATTACAGTCATTTCCTATAGCATTGGCACTGATAATGACGGGGTTATTCTTTTCTTTATTGTCGCTGAGGAAAGGTGAGTTGTCATAATTTAGAAGTTTTTCTTAATGTGTTCTTCAATCATTATCTTTGAAGTTCTATTCAAGAATCCAAATCCTTTTAATTCCTTCATTATAAAAAAAGGAATAAGGTAATAATGGGCTAATAATTCTTCGATCATATTTTATACTCAGGTCAGGTATAAATAATTTAACTTCATCATAATAAGGATTTAAGAAGAACCGAACTGCAGAAATAAGGATTTAAGAAGAACCGAACTGCAGAAGGAGTACGTTGCAGTATCTCATCAAAATCGGCAAAACCAAATAATTTAAGATGAGGAATAATTTAATGTTCTCTAATTTGCATTGTCTTGATCTTTTCTCTAAGCATGTGTTAAAATTCTGGAGGATGGCAAATCTAGTCTTTCACAACCTCTTTGCTTATTATGTTGCCACGACACTACCTGTTTACGATCTCTATGTCTTAAACCTTACACATGTTTCCTGTTTTTATTTCCCTGTCTATAGTTCGTTTTGATCTTCGGAATTTGCTATATGCAATGGTCTGGGCAAGCATAAGTTTGGGCATAGCTGCATTTGTGAGGGCCAACGGTCGAATGTTCTGTAACAGGCCTAGCCTGCACCAATCAAAGTGTTGATCCTGGATTCAGAATGCTTGCTAGTAGCTATATTAGCTGAAATTACCAGATTTGTCGTATTCTTTGTAACGATTTTGGCAATTTTGTACTCTTTTCATGTGTTGACAACCTTCTCTTCGACCATTCATTTGATAATTGAAAGGTCCGAGTTACATGAATGTCAATTATTTCTGAAATCATTTCATTTGGCCCTAGTTACGTGATCATATGTATGTTGAAATGGTATTTATTAATTGAATTATAGAAGTTGAATTGTTGGCTTGTAATTTCGGCAATTGTATATCTGTTTGGATCATCACCATTCGCGAGATTACTACATCTTCAGTCTAGAAAAATATGAACCCTTCAACGTGATAATGGATTGTTCAGTGCACATGATATGGTAAGTGGTAACCCTTTAGGGGTCGTTTGGTTGGAATAGGTCTTATGCCGGTATAAGTTATGTTAAAATTAGTTATACTGGGATTGTTGATTATTCACTGTTTGGTATGTTGTATTAAGAATGACAATTGTATAATTTCTAAGAAGAATGTATAAGTTATACCGGTGCTAATTACCCCACCCTCTATAAGGTATAAGTTATACAGGTGTTAAAATTAACACCGGGATAACTTATACCTAGTTTGCTAACCAAACAGAGTATTAAGGTGGTATTAAATTTTTATACCACCCCTATACCTTCTTATATCTCATACCAAACGACTCCTTATTGTTATAGCTAAGAAGTAAGACTGAGTAAAGGGCAGCCTAGTGCACTGAGCTCTCGGTATACGTGGTGTCCGGGGAAGGGTCGGATCACATTGAATCTTATATACACATTGAATTAATCGAGATGCGCGTAAGCCGGCCCGAACACCATTGTTATTTAAAAAAAAAAAAAGATCAACGTGATGATGCATTATTCAATGCACATGATATGGTAATACTTTACTGTTTCTCTTAACTTGTCTGATTTATTTCTTCGTCCTTCATTATCCTTTCCCCTTAAAATGTTATGGCATGTAGCGTCATTCAATAAAATAGATGCAAAGTAGTTATTCGAAGAACTGTTTCGACTAAAAAAAAGTAGTCTGGTGTACTAACCTCCCGTTATGTGTGAGGTTCGGGGAAGGATCGGACCACAAGGGTCTATCGTACGCAGTCTGATAGAATATATGAGTCCACCAAATTATAGAGAGACCGGGTCCTCTATGAGTTTCCACTGAGAATGCTAATGAAACAGTAAGTAAATAAGACAGAGAGTTTTTACGTGGAAAAATCTCTGCTCAAGGGGATAAAAAACCACGACCTATACTTGTAGGATTTCAACCTCACTATGAGCAACTTTAGATTACAACCTATGCAATCTAGGAATTAAACTCTTAATCCCTCACTAACTTGTAATACACCTATTACAAGCCACTTTGCAATACACTTATTATAAAGACTTCAACTCATGATTAACTCTAGTCACGACAAACACTAAGGGTTTATGGTTTTACAAGGGGTTCCTAAGTAACGCTTCTAGATAAGTAAAGTAGGAGTTACAATGAAGAACACTTACAAAGTTACAACCCAACTAAGGACATAAAAAATACTAGCTCTAGGAACTGGTCCGTAGTAGTGTTAAACTTTGTTCTTGATGCACTTGAGAATTGAATGCTTGAATGTTTGAATGAATTCTCAAGTGTTCAAGTGATGTTTTGTTGTAATGCCTTTTGTTAATACAACATAGATGACATCACTTGAATGGTATAATCAATTGGTAGGTCAAATGAGAAGTGACCGCAGAACTGTGTTGCACTGTTTCTGTGTACAGTGCATGCAGTCACTTTCCAGCTGTAGACAGTTGACTTCATACTGCTGTCAGGGAAACACAAGGGTATCAAGTCCCTGTGTTGATTCTCTATCTTTTGATGTTGTAGCAGTTCACATTAGCTGGACTCCGTCTATTTACGATGTGTATCAAGTGTGTCAGGTTCCTTATATGGTTCTTTGACAGTAAGTTTGTTAGATCAGCAAAACATAAAGTTAAGGCATTGTAAGCCCATCGCAACCTTACTCTGTATTTCTGCAAGTAGTTGTTTTCACGACTCGAACTCGTGACCTTCTCGTCACATGGCAGCAACTTTATCAATTACGCCAAGTCTCCCCTTCTAGAACTGTTTCAACTAAAATTTGGTAAATAATTTGATGAATTAGATATACTAGAAATTAAATCACAACATTGTGGCTCCAGATGAAGTGTTTTTACAAAAAACACTTGATTGTCCTACTTCATCAATTCATAATAATGTCTAGAGCTATCAAAACGGACTAGCCTAGCCCAATTCAGCCTAAGCCTCGTGGACTTTTAAATTCAGTGGGCTAGGAGGGGTCGGCCCTCCATCCATATGGGTCTTAAAATGGCCAACCCAACCCAGCCCTAAGAGGGTCGCGGGCTAGGGCGGACCGGCCCTTCAATTTTTTTTTAAAAAAAAAATATTTTTCAAATCTTTGAATATTTTCTCATGGCATAATCTCTTAATCATATGGACGATTTCAGTTTATTTAGAGTGTGCTAAGAATCTTGATATTTGACAAGGAATTTCGTAATTGCAATGCAAATTCTCTATATGTAGCTCTTCTTTTTTTAACGTTACATGAATATTTTTTTTAGTACTTTTCTTTCACTTTCCTTAGGTTCAGGAATTCCTTCAATAAGTTTATATGTTAAGATTTTTTAATTTAGGTTTAACATTATTTGTTGATTTCATCATTATAGTCCATAAAATTTTTAAAATTCTTAAAATTTGCTAGTGTTGTTAATTTTCTTTGGGTATTAAAACTTGACTTTTTCCATACTGAAGAGCAATTTAATAATTAATAATATATTAAAGTAATCAAGCTGATTATTGGCCACGTAAAGTAATATTTTCTTTTGAAAAAAATTACTATTGGTCACTTAAATCTTTCCTAGTTCGTTGTTAATTAAGCAAAAGAAAAACTAATCTTGTCATACTACATGCATGTCAAAAATATAAATTCTAGTTGATATGGAAGGGTAAATCTAATGTTGGAAAATAGGGATTATAGTTAATATTATTTTAGTTTTTACTTTTTTTTAAATATTTAAATTTGAATTTAATTAATTTTTGGCCCACGGGCCGGCCCTGGCCCAGTCTTGGTCAAACCTTAAGGGTCAACGGGCTGACTTGGACCGGGCTTATAAGCCTTAATTTTAAATGGGCTAAAAAAATTTCAATCCTACCCAAGTAACGGGCTGGGTTGGGCCTCACGGGCCAACCCTATTTTGACGGATCTAATAATGTCCCAAAAGTTATTACTAAAATGTGGGTACATAAAGGCAAAACGTAACAATTGAAAGCCAACAAAGCTTCTGAGATAATCACCTGCGAAAAGGTAGATGTTTTAACTTCAATCCATCAATTGATAAAGCTGAATTCAGGATTTAGAGTAAATACGTTCAGATTTATGTATTTATAAAGTTATAGATGATATTGTTAGTATACTGTATTTGTAAAATAATTCTGGAGAAAATAAAATAGCATATAAACAGAAATATAAACGAAACAGAAGTTAATATCAACTACTGAATTCACAGTGTTTCCTTAAAGAATTTAACCCTCTCCTAGTACCCAAGATTGTGGATTATTTTCTCCCAGGATAGAACGAACACTGGTGTAGTGGTACTTCAAACCTCAGTGTTTTAGCGAACACAAAGTTCGGTAGCAAATCACACTTACTGTTGCTTTCTTTGAAGTTAAAACAATGCAGAAGAAAGGAGGAAAACTCAGAAAATCGTATGAAAAATCTAAGAGAATGGACTGGTATTTATAGCCAATGTTGAGTTCAAAATTGAAGAGGTGCAACTCTTTAGAATGGTTGTTTATGTAAAACGGTCATAACATAAATGGCTATTTAATAAACCAGGAATTGAAGAGGGAGGTTAATTTTCAGTTACAAAATCGAAAAACTGAAAACGGATAACGGAAAAAAAATGTTTAATATTTTCGTTGAATTTAATATTAATATTCCGTTGAATTCTGTTAATATTTATCATTAACAAATAAATTTGGTCCAAAAAATTAATCAATCAATTATTTGGTCAAAGAAATCCGAAGCTGAAGCCGAGCGATGACGACGACAACGCGAGGCTTGCCTTCTTCTTAACTCTTTAAGAGCTAGAAGAAGTGCAATTGTATATATACCCATCAAAAATCTTTGTCTCTTTTAATATGGGACAATATTCCTTTGTCAAGGAGGAAATCTCAAATGAAATTCAAATATTTCATTTTTCCTCCATTTTCCATTCACTCTCTTTTAAGCCTAATTTAGTTTAAAACCTCAACAAATATTACAGAGGAATTAGATGTCTATAGTATTCAGTCCTCCTCCATTTTTTAAAGCAGGTAGCACATGGCAGTCTCAACCTTGGCTGTGCAATCACATACTACTACTAGCTATGGTACTCTTTTTGCAATTCGCCTTTTCATTTTATTGTTAAATTCCCCTAACGAAGTTCCAAAAAAGACTTGAGGAGAGAGATAAAACCTTGCCACAGGATACTGAAATAATGGTTCCCATGTATTGGTGTAAATTGGACGATTTGGTAATAGTAGATAAATGGGATCAAGGACGGGATCGACCACGGTGTAATAGCGGGAAGCCGTCCTCGAGAGGGCCGTAGTCAAAGACGAGTAGCTGAAGTAGAGAAATAACGATAGGATAGGTTCAGATGAGGACACAAGGAATATTCCTTTGAATATTTCTTGTTTTGTACTTTTTAGGATTTCTTGAGAATATCCATTATAAATAGGAAGAGATAGAGAATAAAAAAGGGGATCTTCACCTTTTGATAATAACACATTGTAAAGGTTGACTAAGAAAGAATATACAAAAGTTGTATTGTTCACTGATTACCTTATTGAAACACACGCTGCTCAATCTTCGTTCACAAGATCCAAAGATTCCATATCCATCTTCACTTCCCATCCTTCCACATCGCTGACGGGAGAAAGGAACATCCCAATCACACAATAATTGGGTGGTAGATCCTTTCTTATTACATTTATTGTCATTATCTATATTTATTGCATGTTTATATATGTTGAAAATGTCAAAAGTCCCACATCGGTGGGTGACATATTTGGTTGGGATTTTTTCCCTATAAGGATTTAGACACGCCTCTCATTTTCCTTCTTATCTTCTTAAGGCATTTGTATCT